AAAGAACGCACATTAAAAAAGTTCAATAGTTGGGCATATAAAAAGCATGAACCTGCAACGAATCCAAAAACACACGTGAAACCGTCTGGTATCACACACCATTTTCCAGCTGCTGAGTGTGCCTAACAGTGTTCATTATTAAGAGGCATATAAACTACTATGCGGCTGTTTCATGCACTGTCTGGATATGGGCAGCAGTGCAAAAGCCCAGTTGAGGCTGGTTCTCTTTAAAGGTAGCTTGTAACAGGTAGAGGTTACTTTAGTTGAAACCCCCATGACAAAATGACCACTAGCTCCAAAGAGGGTAGTTTCACACATTCTTATAAAAGTTTACTCCAACCTCCCAAACCTTCTTATCAGTCCTTTATTATGATGGGCAACCACACTGACCATTATAGAGTCTTACAAAGTGGTAATGCGTTGAGCCAAGCTTGACTTTTGCTTGGCTGCTAGACTGATCCCTCAAGCCTCTTCTCTCCTGAGCTCTAATGGTCAAAGGACTGGTGACGTCATCACATCTAATGCAAGTCCACTAGATGTGAGCACGCCGGGGAAAAACTACAGCCAGAGCGGAGGCGGAGAGAGGTAAGTGGTCACTACTAGAGGACTGAGGATCAGGTAAGTGTATGCGCAGTGTGCTCTCTCCCCTCTAGCAATGGCGGCTGCAACTCGTTCAGGGGAAGAATGCATTGTGCCTGTGCAGTATTTGAATGGGCCACTGGCACTGCAAGGGAGAAGAAAGCACACTGCGCATGCACAGTGTATAAATAAACCACGGCACTCGTTCCTTCTGTCTTGGGGGCACGCAGATGCCTTCTGCAGAGGGATGGAGGAGGATCACCTGCAAAGGAGTTTTTGTGGTAAGACCACACGGCCCTAAGGTATGGCATGCAAAAGGAACATTTTTTTCAACCAAAGCAGTGATTTGTAATCTGCAGAGCATGCTGACATGCATTGGGGATTTTTTGGGAAATGTGCCTAAAGGTGAACTAACCCTTTAATATCAACCTTTTGCAATCCTCTGCACAACTCAGATTGGGTAAGGGAAAAGCAGCACGAGGAGGCAGTCAGCTGTCCTGCAGTGCTCATGTGCTAACAAGGAACACACTGAAAGGAGGTGAAAGTGGCAGAGAGATGAGCTTCTTAGGGGCGGTATCAATTAGCTTTTGTTTGCTTCAAGCAGGGTTTGCATTCCCATACAAGCAGGGCCGGATTTACTCTCTCTGCTGCCCCAAGGCCAGGTTTCTCAATGCGCCCCACTACCCGTCAACCCCCCCACCACCACCACACACACCCCCATATGGCAGACCTGCAGACTGCATACAAGTGATCTTGGAAATCGCTGTACAAAACAAGCGTCGGCTTCCCCGCTGTACATTTAGCTCTGCTTGCCCAAAGCAGAGCTAAATGTAGAACACAACTACCCACCCGGCGCCCGAAAGTGCATGTCCCGGGCATCGGAAGATAGGAATTCCACAGCCCTGCTGCCCCTTTACTCCCTGCTGCCCCAAGGCTGGGCCTTGGTTGGCCTTGTGGGAAATCCGGCCCTACATACAAGTCTATCTATGGGACCGCAAAACAAGTTAGAAGCAGGTGAGAAGAAGATAACTGCAGGTCAACTGCAACTGTCAGTGAATTTTAAATGATCTCAGAAGCGTTTCAATGTGCCACCAACCTGATGCCATTGACACTAGCCCAAAAACCGGTCGACACAGGCCCTTAGTCTGCTGCTTCTCTTTTCGCTGTGCAGTCATGGGCTGGGGGAGGGACAAGACTAGTACGTGTTGCTTAACTGCAGCAGAAAAAAATCAGGTCTCATCTCAAGATAGACAGAAATACGAATCCTTTTGGAGGTAAAACAGCTCCTTATATGTATTTTATCTGTATATTTAGCTGTCCGCCCTGAGATCAGCTTTAACACGCATACGAGGAATACAGAACCTGCTCTACAATTCAGCAAGACTAATGCACAATGTCTGCAAGCGCCATTTGTTTGGGATAATCAATTGCAGCGAGAGATGAGGGGGCTGGAGCTAGAGCATACAACGCTTCTCTGAAATAAGCTGATTTCTTCCTAATTCCTTGCTGGAGTCCAAGTAGAGGAAGATTGGAGAGGGCATGACATCAAACACATTATCATTTACCCTCAGACCCTAGATTGAGATTCTTAGGGGAAAACGCTAATTCTGTTTTTCCCGAAGGCAAATTATAACCTTCACAGCGTGATTGCTGACAGATGCAGAATCCAGAAGCAGTAAGGGAAAGGCTTTCTCAAAATGGGAGGGGCTTAGTTATTAATGGGCGGAGCTGCAGAGTCGCAGAGTTTCCGTGTGGTTCTTTCCTATAGTTCAGTGCACTCATTACAATGTGATTGTACAATCTGCTTTAGATCTACCAGCAACTATATAGTGCATGGGCCTGCTTGATTGGGTACACATTGATTGGGTATATCTTCCAATAACAAACATTCCGTAAATCTAAAGTTGATTGGACACATTGTAATGTATATGGTGACCCTTAGAGAGATATGGGGGTTGTCAGTACTGACCTCCATCTAAAAATGCTAGGGGCCTGTCTGTTATTCTAATCCATTGGTTTTAGTACTTCCTGAACTCCTAGTACTTCCAGTATGCTGGTCAATAAAGTCAAGGTGACATCAGCAGTCCTTATCTTTATTATGGGTTGTTTTCATTATTTGGTATTTTTTAAACTTTTATTTTTTATTTTTGAATGGGGGATACAGACCAAAAAATCCCTTACCCACTCTGTTTAAAACAAATGATTGGGTTTGACTGGAGTTGGGTTTTCGTTCAGGACATGCTGAAAAAGATCTAATAACATGACCTTATTTTACGTGGAACTCTGGCCATGTAACAAAAAATAATACTGACCACCCCCCAACCCCATAGTCATCAATCTGTAGCTGGTTATTAAAAATTTATGTTTTAAAACCCAATAATATTGCCCTTATCTGTAGTCTTATGATCCTCTACCTGTCATGAAAACCGTCCCACTGAAGCCACTCTCGTAGACGTCATCATGCCAGTGAAGGTCCAGGACCCAGGTCATTAGGATGGGACATGGTAGAGGGTAGAAGTACCCAAATCCCAGTCCTGAAGAGCATGGGACACTGACTGATGCGGGATCGGGATGAGTATTACTGGGTGTTGGAACATTTATTTTAAAAAAAATAGCTAGAGATTGATGAAAATTGGGATGGGTAGGGGGTTGTTTTTTTTTAATGGCCGGGCATCTGCTTTTACTATGGCTATTTTTGGTTTGACTGTTTTTTTTGGATAGGCTGGGTGCTCGTGGACAGTGTTGGCAGCCATTGAGTGCTTGGCAGTTAAAAGGCAGTTATCGTGCAGGTCTCTAGGAATCCTCCTATAGTGTTCCATGGCTGTCAAGTGATGCTAGAAACATCTTGTGCTCATTTTAACCCCTTCCCCTTTTGAATAGTGAGAGCAGGAACCATAAAGTTACTTGGAGGTTTTTTAAGGTTTAGAAAGTTCTTCAATACAATCTTATTTGCTGCTTTTTAAGCATTTTTTCTAGCATTTGGGAAGCCTATTATACTGACCACTAACTGCTTTCTAAATGCTAGGAATACCAAACAGTTTTTCTGAAAAGGATTGTTAGGAGAAAGGTTATGTTCTTTCAGGGGACCCATGAAAAGAACAGGTATATCAGGGAGATAGACAACCGACACCTTATGTAGACCCCAAGAACCCACAAAAACTTTTATATATGTAAGTACAGAGTCAAAACCCAGCACCCAGGGTGAATTAAGACACATGTGAAAAGCAGTCATAACATTTTGCATAGAAGAGGTGGGGGGCAGGTGGGGTAACGTTACTGTGGCATGGTAAATTGGGGGTGTGGACAAAATATCAGTTTTTAGGGGGGTGGTTAGCCAGTGACAGACCTGCAGGGAATCCAACTATAGTAACATGGTCCTTAATCCAAACATCGCTGACTTGATCCCATACTTACACAGATGGTACCATGCAACTAGCTGTGGTTATATATGGGCAAATGTGACAATAGAGTGGTAACAAATCAGCAATCATGGCAATATTTTGGGAACAAAAAAGACCATTGTGACAGCAAACGGACACATGTGGATAACCTAAAGGCAACACATTGGCAAAAACTGTCAATCCTAAAAATATGTTTAAAAAAAACTGGCAATACATGAGCATGGTGAGACAATCTTGAGAATGCATGAGCAGTGTGGGGAATTGCAACAATACATGGGTAACAAACATGGGCAATACACCAGTAAGCATGACTACGGGTGAGCAACACACTGACAAAACATGGGCAAACAAATGCCAACCTTGGCAATACATAGGTACTAATTGGGCAATCATGACATTACATGGGCAACAAATGGGCAGTTGTGGTAATACAGGAGCACGTTGGGACAATCTTGAGAATGCATGAGCATTGTGGGGAATCGCAACAATACATGGGTAACAAACATGGGCAATACACCAGTAAGCATGACTACGGGTGAGCAACACACTGACAAAACATGGGCAAACAAATGCCAACCTTGGCAATACATAGGTACTAATTGGGCAATCATGACATTACATGGGCAACAAATGGGCAGTTGTGGTAATACAGGAGCAACAAAGAGGAAGTTGTGGCAATACATGGGCAACAATGCCTGGCACAGCATTTTCTTTCTCTTGGCGCTCTGCTTTGCACCATCAACTTACTGCTCTGGCCCCTGTGTGAGATGAGTATTGACATTACTACTTCAGACAACCAATCAGCCCTGCACTACTTTAGTCCTAGCTGGAGATTGGCAGGACACAAATACAACAATCTTCAAGGAATGTTCTATCCTGTGTTCTTTCAGCATTACTAATCTACGGTCATACTACTAGACCTCATTACATTCCTTTGAATTCATTTCAGATGTGACAATCATCACGCAAAAAATACTGTCAGTTGTGGATGAACATAGGCATGGATACTCTGTGCTTTACCTTTTTCCAGTTCTACAGGAAAGAGGTCCAGCCTCTCGACCCGTTTCTCAAGCTCATATTCTGCAGAGGCAGCCATGGGGTCCACGTCGTCATTGCGGCGGTCATATTCCTCATTGGAGTATGTGCTGAACACCTGTTTGGACAAACACAATTAGTTTCCCGCAAGCTCAGAATCATTTGTTACCACTTTACATTGGAGAGCCCTTAATCTATCGATCTTCGAAATGTTCAAATCTGGACAATTCAGACTGAGAATATGACGGGAAATACATAAGCACTTGATCCAAAAATAAGTAGTAGAAATTGTATGCAAATCTTGCCTTTAATTATAATAATTATTTTAAAGGGTTAACTGTGGACCTTCTAAGATGGCGATCCATTGTGGTGGACTTTCAGAACCTGGAGCTTCTTCTGGTCCTGTAACCAGTACTTGTCCCAGGCACTAGGTATGATTACTGAGGGCTGCCCAGGTGGGCTCTAGTGGTCTTGACTACGTAAAAACTTTCTTCTAGGCAAGTTGTAACACTAATCAGAAGGATGTGACCTACACTGCTTTGCCAAAACTGCATTGGGTTTACATTTCTGTGTTTTAGAATTGTACACAATACTGAAGGTGTGTGGATGCACATAGGGCCCAATGTGTTTATAACATTTGGATGAGGTTGTAAAAAACAATGATTGCATATAGCACAAAGGAAACATTGACAGATTAAAGATAGACACGCACATTCAATAAGATTCAATCTCAATTAGATTTACCAACAACAATGCAGTGTAATGGTGTCTGGTTTTACATTAAATAGATTGCCTATATAGGATCTCACATAGCATAGTTGCTTGTAAGTCTAAAATACACTACAAAAAGGCTATGTGCAAGCAGATTATTACTGGACACAAAATTCACAATCTCTTCGTTTAATCAATTTTCTCTTTTCAGTGTTTCAGTCATTTAATCCAACCCGTGTAGGTTGAGCAATCAGATAGTAAAATGTGGACACACATTGATGTTTATTAAATCAGAATTCTCTATTACTATGTAACACTGCTTTAAAAGCCTGGGACACTGTGGAGAGAGGTACAGTAATAGAGAGAAGACTGAGGTAGTGCATGTAATAAAAAGGCATCAGCCACTGCATGTAATAGAAAGGGGTGAGACACTGCATTAAATAGAGAGGCATCAGCCACTGCATGTAATAGAAAGGGGTGAGACACTGCATTAAATAGAGAGGCATCAGCCACTGCATGTAATAGAAAGGGGTGAGACACTGCATGAAACAGAGAGGCATCAGCAACTGCATGTAATAGAAAGGGGTGAGACACTACATGAAACAGAGAGGCATGAGTCACTGCATGTAATAGAAAGGGGTGAGACGCTGCATGAAATAGAGAGGCATGAGCCACTGCATGTAATAGAAAGGGGTGAGACACTGCATGAAATATACAGGCATCAGCCACTGCATGTAATAGAAAGGGGTGAGACACTGCATGAAACAGAGAGGCATGAGTCACTGCATGTAATACTGCATATAATAAAGTGGACTGAGGCACTGCATGTAATAAAGAGGTTGAGACACTGCATGTAATACAGAGGCATGATCCCCTGCATGTAATACAGAGGCATGATCCACTGCATGTAATACAGAGGGATTTGGAACTCCACTTAATAGAGATGTATGGGCCACTGAATGTAATAGAAAGGGATGAGGCACTGCATGCAATTGCAGGGAATGGTTTGCTGCATGTAATAGAAAGGGGTGAGACACTGCATGAAACAGAGAGGCATGAGTCACTGCATGTAATACTGCATATAATAAAGTGGACTGAGGCACTGTGTGTAATAAAGAGGCATGAGCCACTGCATGTAATAAAGAGGTTGAGACACTGCATGTAGAGGCATGATCCACTGCATGTAATACAGAGGCATGATCCACTGCATGTAATAGAGAGGGATTTGGCACTCCACTTAATAGAGACGCATGGGCCACTGAATGTATTAGAAAGGTATGAGGCACTGCATGCAATTGCAGGGAATGGTTTTCTGTGTGTGATAGAAAAGGATGAGGCACTGCGATGTAGAAGAGAAGGACATGGCACTGCATGCAAAGACATAATGTACTGCATGTATAGCAAGGGATAAGGTACCCTGTAAAATAGAAAGGCATGAGGCACTGCTTTTTAAGAAAGAGGGATGAGGCATTGTGTGTAATAGAGAGGGATGAGACACTGTATTTACCAAAGAGGGATGAGGTCCTATGTGTAGTAGAGATGGATAAGGCATTGCATCTAATAGAGTGGGATGGGCCACTGTATATAATGAAAAAGAATGATAGAGAGATACGAGGCATTGTTTGTCATTGCATGTGCTAGAGAAGAATGGGGCTCTGTGTATTGCAGAGATATGAGGCACTGTTTGTAATACAGAGATATTATGTATTTCATTGGTAATATGGATACAAGAAATGGCTGGGGGACAAATCTCACTGTTCTCCTGCATTTCAATTCTTTTTTTGCGAAGGAAATCAGTGACCCCTGGAAATGGAAGCATTATGGGGGAGATGGATGAATTCCTTGTTCACATACATTCACTGTTCACAAGTGTTGCTTCTCGGCTACCCTTCCACATGTTCTGTAGCTGCCTCTGCCCTGACCGTTCTGCAAAGTCGTTCAACTGACTGTAAGCTCTTGTGCACAATTCACTGCATGTTTATTGTAATCAACTGATATGTGAAATATCTGAGACTGTTCTTCTAAATAAGTGACAAGTGGTAACTTTGTTGGATACATCCTCTGTTCTTCAGTCTCGTACGGTGAAGCCAACATATCAGCATGACAGAATGTGACACTGGTTTGCATAAGATATACACACAGCTCCGTCTTTGTGTTTACTGGTGACACACAGCTCTATCTCATACATCACAGCATGTTAACCACAACCTATCACATGATAGTACATACACTTCCTTTCCACTGTTAGCTAGACTCAGACTTTACAGGCTTGTATCTATCGGCATTTCGTTAACTTTCCATGCCTATTCAACTAAGTGGGACACGGTGTAGCAATGCATAGCAACCAGTCTGACTAGAACGTGCTTGGTTGTTATGGGTTACCGCACTTACTAGCTTTTCTTTTTGCTTTGACATAGCCATGAAGTTTACATGGGGTTGATGTATAAAAGGTACGGTAGCAGAAAGACTTTTTCTTTGCTAAAATTAATTTTGGGATACCACTATAGTACTACTGGGGCTCCAATCAGTATTACTCCCCTTGTGTTAGTTCAGGCTTTGCGGAGGTGTAGGCCGCATCCTGGCACAGGTATTTTCTTAGCAACCCCAGGAGGGATATCCTGGAACTGGAGAGAGATCAGAGAAGGGCTACAAAATTAACTAAAGGGTTCGAAGGCCTCAGTTATGAGGACCGCATTCAAGATCTAAAAGAGACGATCAAGAGGGGACCTTATTGCCGTCTTCAAAATCATCAATAGGGAACCCAATATTAGGAATAAACTGTTTAATCATAAAACTGTATTGAGAACCCGGGGACACAACAAGAGGTTAGAAGAGAAGGGGTTCAATCGTAGAATTCACAAGGGATATTTCACAGTGAGAGTAGCGAAAGTTTGGAATTCCCTCCTGCAGGTGGTGGTATCTGCGGATAACATTGATAAATTCAAGAAACTACTGGATGAGTTTCTTCTCTCGCAGAATCTACAGGGATATGGTAAGTTGTACAGCCAGAAACATACACACTCACATACATAGGTTGGACTGGATGGACCTTGGTCTTTATTTAATCTTGTATACTATTTATACTAAATAAAGGGCAACCAGACCACCATTTAGAATCCTTACCTAACTGTCCAACCCAGGCTCCAGTTAGAGATTGGAAACTGATAGGTTAAACATTTTCCGATTATGAGTCTATTTCTGGGGAGCTAGAAGCTCCCCAGATATCTGACTGCCAGGATACCTAGAATTCATTCTGGGGTGCCACTTCAGTACTACCGGGGCTCCCACAGGTACTACTCTCCCCTTGTGTTAGTTCAGGCTTTGTGGTGGTATAGGCCACATCCTGGCATGGATATTTCCATAGCAACCCTAAAGGGTAACCAGACCAACATTCAGAATCCCTACCTAACTGTCCAACCCGGACTCCAGTTAGAGGTTTGAAACTGATAGAATAAACATTTTATAGATATCAGCAAAAAGCTCTGAACAGATATCTGACCACCAGGATACCTAAAATTCCTTCTGGGGTGCTACTTCTATAATATTGGGGTGCCCACATGTACTACTCTCCCCTTGTGTTAGTTCAGGCTTTGCAGAGGTGTAGGCCACATACTGGCACAGGTATTTCCATAGCAACCCTGTAGGGTAACCATGCCACCATTTAGAATCCTTACCTAACTGTCCAACCCAGGCTCCAGTTAGAGGTTGGAAACTGATAGGTTCAACATTTTCCGTTTATGAGTCTATTTCTGAGGAGCTAAAAGCTCTCAACAGATATCTGACCACCAGGATACCTATAATTAATTCTGGGGTGCCACTTCCATACTATTGGGGTGTCCACAGGTACTACTCCCTTTGTGCTAGTTTAAGCTTTGTGGTGGTGTAGGCAACATTCTGGACATGTATTTCCATAGCAACCCTGTAGGGAAAACCTCAGTGAGGTTTTTGTATAAAGATCATGCTGGCCAGAGAATTTGTTGTTGTCCTTAGCAACCTATTAGTATCTATTTTCCCTATTTATATCTGGACAGCTGAAATGAAAGTTAGAAAGTGATTGGTTGCTATTGGCAACAAGAAATTGTCCCGTTAGCAAACTCTTCATAAACAGGCTGCAATTTGTATTCTCTGAGTACATATTATTGCATCTACCTGAGCATAATATTTCACATGACTTGCAGGTGTTTACCTGCTTGCTGCTATTTATTTTTATCAATGGGTTTCATATATGGACATGGCTACGTCCCATTTAAAGGAAACCTTAGTTGGCTACCCTTTTTGGAAATGCTGATTGTTTGGCTGCCTCTGACCAAGAAAGTACTGGATCAGCAGTACAACTTGGCAAACAGCATTTTCAGAAGGAGAGGTCTGTATGGGCAGCCAACCTATTTTATCATTACAGGTATACAGGGCCGTCTATATAATAAGGCAGGATGAGGCTGTTGCCTCAGGTGGCACCTCTTTGTGTCACATGGAGGAGCAAGAGGGCATACACATCTTACTGCCCAGCTCTTAGCAACCTGGGATGCTCTGGCTGAAACAGAAAATGAAGGAAAATTGATGGAACGGGCTCAGTTATTTTGCACACATTTTGAACGTCTTTTGGAGATATGCTATTCAGATTTAAAAATGTTCAGAAAGCGAATTGTTTAAAGGGTCAGTCCACTGTAGTGATATTACAGTTACCAGTGGAGCCTGGTGAACTGAATTCCAGTTTGAGGACTCTATGATGCACCCACGACAAACTGTAAGCGTTGTTTGTGCCTACTGTATCTTAGAGTCCTAATCCTTGTGCTAGAACAGGGGGAGTTCCAGTGTTCCTCCTCCATATTACAAAATAAAGAATCCAGCAGTGAGAGTGGGACTGCTCATAATTACTGTAGCTAGCGTGCAGCCTCCAGAACTCACAACCAAATGTAAGGAACTGGTAGGTGATTTAAAGGGAACCTGTCAGTTCTACAAGGTACAGGCTGTGGGATCTTGATCCTTGCTTCACCACCTGGAGAGCCACTGTCCTAGCATGTATCGTTTTAGACTTTTCAGACTTCATGGATTGCTTACTTGTTCCAGGTCAGGCCATGGAGTTAGGGCCACGTCAGACAAGGGATCCTGTTGCTAAGAGACTACTTATCTTTTCCTGCGGAGTTGCTCCCTGGCTGGTGGGACCAGCAAGATGCCTCTTTGTCGCATGCAAGCATGTTTCTGCTGGGCCAACAAGGGAGTAACACTTATTACGGGAAGTGTTTGCTTAACCTTAGAGTATATCTCTCCTTGCCTATGTGTCGCCAACATTGGAATCGCCCATCTTACATCAGTTTAAGGACCATATCACATGAGCCATCCTCAAAATGGCCAGAACTTGCCAGCAACAGCATTGCTAAGAGACCACTTAGCTGTCTCGATGGAGTTGTTTCCTCACTAGCCAGTCAACGAGATGTTGCGTGCTCTTTATTAGCAAGGGAGGTTTGGCTGTGTTCCAGGATAGTGAGGAATACATTCCTTGGAGGTAAGTGGAACGTCTTCCTGGGTCATATATCACCAGCAGAAGAATTGCCCGTGTGACATGGCTCTCAGCATCATTATTATTATTACATAGTATTTATATAGCGCCAACAGTTTGCGCAGCGCTTTACAATATAAGGAAGACATTACAATTCAAGACAAGATGGTAAGGAGGGCCCTGCCCCTGAGGGCTTACAATCTGAAAGAGGAGGAGGAAATTATACATGAGGAGGTAGCTGTGTGGGGATGAATTATTTGAGAATGTGAGGGTTCAGTGGTTAGGTCGAGGTGGGATAGACTTCCTTGAAGAGATGAGTCTCTAGGGAACGCCTAAAGGCAGTCAAGTTGGGAGATAGACGGACAGGTTGGGGTAAAGAGTTCCAGAGGATGGGAGAGACTTTAGAGAAGTCCTGGAGGCGAGTATGGGAGGAGTGGACAAGGGAGCTGGAAAGCAGGAGGTCAATGGATGTGAGGAGGGGACGGTTAGGGTGATACTTTGAGACAAGGTCTGTGATATATCCGGGGGCGGAGTTGTGGATGGCTTTATAAGTGACTGTTAATATTTAGAATTTTATCCTCTGAGCGAGTGGAAGCCAGTGTAGGGATTGGCAGAGGGGGGATGCAGACACTGAGCGGTTGGTAAGGTGAATGAGTCTGGCAGCTGCATTCATGATAGACTGAAGGGAGGATAGCCTGTGTAGTGGAAGGCCAATGAGGAGGGAGTTACAATAGTCAAGATGAGAGATAACAAGGGAGTGGATGAGTAGTTTAGTGGTTTCTTTGGTGAGGAAGGGGCGTATTTTTGAGATGTTACGAAGGTGAAGGCGGCAGGATTTGGATAGTGATTGGATGTGGGGAAGAAAGGTGAGGTGCGAGTCAAGGATGACACCTAGGACCTTGGCATGAGGGGAGGTTTGGATAGTTGTGTTATCAATCTCAACTGAAAAGTTTGGGGAAGGTGCACGGGGTGGAGGAAATATGAGCTCAGTTTTTGAAAGGTTGAGTCGCCTTTTCAAGTTCAAGCTTGCATCTTGAATAAGGAGCCCTTATATTTCTGCCCTTCCAGATTCACTTTACGGCAGGGGCGTCCCGAGGCTGGGTGACACCCAGAGCGGTAAACGAGTGTCACCCCGCCGAGAAGTCACTGAGCATGCGCGTGATGTCGTCATTGCGCACGCGTGGCAGTATTCTGATACCTGCCGACAGCCATCTTGGCGATGGACGCCGGCAGAGAGAGGAGGGGACAGTCACCTGGCGGGATAAGGTATGCCGCCGGGTCCCCTCCTCTCTCCTGATACTGTCGGGCGTTCGGTCCATGACCGAGCGCCCGACTTTTCAGAGGGGGGTGACACCAAAATGACTGTGAGTCATTTTGGTGTCACCCCTCCAATGGGGTGCACCCCCCGTGTGACGCCACTGCTTTACGGCCCAGTCACTGGCCACGCTTTGGATGGTGCTACCACACCAAGGTGCCACTGCCAGTCTACCTAATGAACATCATTCCCTTGCTGGCCGAAACTCTAGAGCACCTTGATCGCTAGTGATGGAGCAGCTCCACATGAACATCTAGCTGGTTTGGCCTGCAGGGGAGTCACACCATAGAAGAAGGTGTAGGAACTTTCAGCATTTCTGTCAGTAGCGAAATAAACTCTAGTTTGACTTTGGCTTGATGGCAGCTACCAAGCACTGACATTTCAGTTTTGCATGGTCTGACCCAGTATGTTGAGTGCAAATGTCATTGCTCAGGGATCATTTTGAGCAAGGGAGCTCTAGCTATACACAGTCCAGTTCCAGTTTTGGAGGAGCCCTTGATTGTTGGACAGGTCATATACACTGATAATAAGCTTAACAGGCATTGACAAGTGTTCATAGTCATACAGGGTGATACATTATTACCTTGCTAGAAAATCTCCCTGCGGATAGTCCCAATCCTTTCCTTAGTTATGCGAAACGTTAACAAAACCGAATGCATACTAGTACTACTGGCTGTATCAGGCAAAGATCATGGTAGGTCTTGGAAGATGGGCCACTAGTCAGTCTGGTCACTGATTTACCATAGGTTCTGCGCGAGAGAGCTGTTCCTCATAGCAACCAATCGTATTTTATATTTCATTGATCTGATTAGTACCGTTGATTGCTTCAGCCTGATAACTACACATCCACACGGCCTACAGCTCCTGACCGGTCACTTTTGGTCAACACTAGGGCCAAGGAACACTATACTGCTTATTTTTGTGGTCACCTAGTCAGCATGGACCAATATTTAAAAGTGATGATAATTTTTGAAATACAGGGTCTTCCCCGGGTTCCAGGGGTCGTAGACAACTATTTTATGGCTTGCTGCATTTCTCACATCATCATTGCATGCCTTATGAACCAAATCCAGTATCATGTAATATTTCTGGTCTGTAATAAGCTCTACATTCATCTTTGCAGCTGTGTCATTGTACAGGAATCTCTATAACGTTGATAGCCCCAATAACAGGAAGCATGGGGGGTGGGGGAGAGCCCCCCCCCCCCCCCCCCCTGCCAGCCTGCCACTGTCCCCGCAGCAGGAAGTGTCAAACAGACACACACTTCCTACACTCAAACAGCTCAGTGTGTTGTACAGTAATGAAAAACACCAGCTTTGTTGGAAGGCTTGATCTATGCATAGGCACCCAGACAGAAAGACAAGCAGACTGAAAGAAGCCATTACAGCTTCTCTGTCTAGTTCTATAAAGCAGCCATTTGAGGTTTAGGTGAGGTCAGTATATAAAGCATCAGTGCTATCATGCAAAGATAGCAAGCTTGTTTGTGTCAACAATACCAGCCTAGATAGATCTCCTTTTCTTGCTGTCATGGAGACTCGGGATGGCTAGATGCCTTGACATACATCCAGTCTTGGTCTCATTGCAGAGGACTCTGGGAATTTATGGCCTATATTCCAAGTCGGAAACACACTCTCGAGCCTTTCACATTAATTGCTGACATGACAATCTTAATGATACTGGAATTTAGTGCTTGTCTATACAGAGGGAGGGATTCTGGGTAAATTGTACAGTTTTAAGAAGGATAGAATAACAACAGGTCTTTGTAAAAGGACTTATTTAATGCCTAATTGGCCAACAAGATGCCTTGAAGTTACCTTTTGGTGGATCCATGCGACATACTGGGCAGAAGAAAATAATTTAATTGTCTTGTAATATCTTAAAATAATAATATGTTGGAAACCTAATTTAGGTTTATGAGTTTAAAATATGTATTTTATTAATCAAATATTGCATTTTTAACCTTAGAAATGGACCTTAAATCATGTCCCTGGAGCTTTATGGTCTAGTACCTGGGCATGAAATAGTATAAGAAGCCTAGTCGCAGATGGCTTACCTTAATGGGGGCTGTGCTGAACCGTATTTTCCGTACAGGAGTAGGTTCCTCCTCTTCAGAAAGGCCCTCAATCTCCAGGCAACTGGTGACTGGTTCATAAAAACCATCCTCGTCTTCATCCAAACCACTGCCACCTGAATCTTCCCCTAGTCCACTGTAGGCACTCAGTTCTATTACTTCAACCTCCGACCAGTCTTCCCTCTTGTAGTCTTCATCTGCGGCTTCTGCTTCTACTTCTTCCTCCAGCTCTGTTTCCCGCGCTGTTACCCCCTTAGCTTCTGTCCCACCATTCTCAGTTGCCTGGTTGACAGGTCCTTCATCTTTTGCTAGTTCTACCTCCTTAACCACATCTGTTTCTGACTCACCACTTTCTTCCACTTCCACTGGCTTGATTTTACAAATCTCCTGGACTGAGGTTGGCCTATGAGGATCATCTACGTTCTTAGCTGTGGGTTTCTTCTCTTCGGTGGCCTTGGTTGCTTCTGGCTGAAAAACTCTCGTCCTACGGCCAGCTGGGCTTTTGAGTGGAACTTTGTGAATGTTATTGCGGAGGTCAGCGTTCTCGAAAACTGCGCTCAGTTGACTGACCGTGGGCGAGACAGCGTCGGTGTCCAGCTTGTCAAGAGACTCCGTACTCCCACCGAACCTCACCACAACGTCTAGTTTCCGGTCTTGGAAGCCACCTCTCTCTTTACGCAAGAAGATCCTGTTGGTGGTCTCCTTCTCTTGTAGGTTCCTCTCAAACACCCGGCGAGCCTCTTGCAACCTGGAAGTCGGTTTGTCTGCCGACGCATCGAAATGGCTTACCCTTTCGGAAACACTGGTTCCGAGCTTCAGCAGGGCGCTATGGTTGACGTTTTCATTCAGACTGCCGGCCCGCGGCAATGTCAATCGAGATGGCTTCTCTTTTGGTTTTCCAGCTTCGACCTCATTACCTGCCGGACCTGTCCCCATCTGCAGGAACATGTTCTTGATGCGGTGCACATTGGAACCATATATACACCTTGCTTTGCGCGCTTCTTCGGATTCTCCCTCCAGCGCCCCATCTTTGCCTGTGCGCAGCTTTTGCACCCCAACCTCATAAGCATTTCTGTGTGGTGAGGAACTCCTGGTTCCCCCACTTGGGGTCTTACCCTCCGTCTTCATCATTTTTGGGATGTAGGACGTGGGTACCCAAATCTCATAGTCCTCTTCTCTCCTCCTCCTCCTCTTCCTCCAGCCTCCTCCTGTTTTTGTGTCTGTCACATCAAGACTGGAGCATCCTTTCCGGTATGTCACGAAGCTGAGAGATGATGTAGCCCGGCTATGGAGCACCGTTATCAAACACAGTCCCCCACCATGTCACCGGAGCTGATGCATCCTGGCCTAAACTAGCATCACGAAAAGCAACATCCTCCTTCCTCCTTTCTCTGTGTGACCCCCCCCTCCTCTCTCTGTATCACTCCCCCTCTCTCAAGCTCTCCCTTTTTTTCCTGCCTTCTGCAATCTGAAAAGGTTGCCGCGGGGTCCTATAGAGAGAAGAATTGCTGGAACGGAACAAAAACAGAGAGGGAGGAAGGGATTAGAGAAAAAAGAGTGATCCATCTGTCAAAATGTATTAGAGGGCTGGCAGAGGAGATTGAATAATCGTTTAAAGTGACAAGACAAACTGGAAGTACAGATATATGCACACAGAAATTAATGTATGGGTGTCCATATAAATATATATAAAATTAAAAAAAATCCTATAATATCATAATGACACTTAAATCTAATGACGGAACTGCTTGGGATTGGTTACCATACATTCTTATAATTTTCTCATACTTAGCCAGCCATCGTATTTGTTTTACTCATTGGCAAACGTCAACTTTCCTGCCTCCGAAAGAGCTTACAGTCTCTGCCACAGTCATTTATATACATTACAGCTGGTTTATTTGGAAGCCAGTTAAACAACTAGTACGAAACAGGAAGTCAGTCCCCTTTAGGGTTGCATAAAGGAGAAACTGGCTTCCATTTGAGATACATTTATTTAGATACTGATTTTGAGTGGCCTCTGAGCTACTTCACATCACATTGACTGCTATGAAGCTTACCCTGTACACAAGCCCTTAGCTCCCATTCACACCATAGCTAAGCGCGACAAAACGCTCAAGACAAGGAATCCCAATAATTTTTATGGTACATGAGCTACTTCTTGGCAGATTACATCACTTTTTAGTCCCATAGACTTCAATGGAAAATGCCGGGAAACACGCGTTTCAAGGGTTTTTGCGCATTTTGTCACTTGAAGGTTCCCAAAAAAGTAAAAAAGCGCTGTAATCTGCCAAAAAGTCGCTTATGTACCAATCCCAGTGACAGGCGTTATTCTGCTTGTGACAAAACGCCCAGGCGTGAACAGAAGCCATACAAATTGGATTCTTTGTCTTAGCTTAGCTTTGAGTGACAAAATTATTATTTAGTAATATATAGGGCAGCGATGGAAAAAGAGCAGTAACCCATAGCAACCGTTCAGATATAATTTTGCAAAATTCGTGTCAGTGAAATAGGGATTCTGACTACTACTTTGGATATATATATATACACTATATTGCGAAAAGTATTGGGACACCCCTCCAAATCATTGGATTCAGGTGTTCCAATCACCTCCATGGCCACAGGTGTAGAAAATCAAGCACCTAGGCATGCAGACGCTTCTACAAACTTTTGTGAAAGAATGGGTCGCTCTCAGGAGCTCAGTGAATTCAAGTGTGGTACCGTGATAGGTTGCCAACTGTGCAATAAGTCCATCCATTACATTTCCTTGCTACTAAATATTCCACGGTCACCTTACCAGGAAGTGGTAGGTCACGTAAAATTACAGAGCGGGGTCAGTGCATGCTGAAGAGCACAGTGCGCAGAAGTCGCCAAATGTCTGCAGAGTCAATAGACAGTTGGCGGTCCAGTTTTGGTTGCTGGTACTGAGAAGGGATGTCCTTGAACTGGAGAGAGTCCAGCGGAGGGCAACTAAACTAATTAGGGGAATGGAGGACCAGAGCTATGAGACCTAAACATGTTTACACTGGAATTAAGGAGATTAAGGGGGATATGATTTTCATGTACAAGATGTTCAATGGTGACAGCAACATTGGCAACAAACTGTTTGAGATTAACTCCATTACCAAGACTAGAGGCCACCACCTAAAGTTGGTGGAGAAAAAATTCCCGCACAATCAGCAAAGAGGGTTCTTTACAGTAAGAGCGGTTAAAATTAAGGGGGGATATGATTTTCAAGTACAAGATGTTCAAAACTGTTTGAGATTAACTCCATTACCAAGACTAGAGGCCACCACCTAAAGTTGGTGGAGAAAAAATTCCCGCACAATCAGCAAAGAGGGTTCTTTACAGTAAGAGCGGTTAAGGTCTGGAACTCACTGCCATCGGCAGTGATTTCAGCCAAGAGTGTAGATTTGTTCAAGAAACGTTTGGACAATTTCTTGAGGGACCGTAATATCACTTCAGGCAATCAGATGTAATATGGAGTTAAAATACATATATGGGAACTGTTTTACCTGCTTGAGGATTTGTAATTCTGCACAGGCGATCTTGTGATCTAGACGCTGCCAGACAGCACAGCAATGACCTTGATCATCAGTGCAGCAGCAGTAAAGCTTGTACAAGAACAAACCACCTGCTAATTGGACAGTGGAGTAGCAGCACAGTGATTAGGTCAACCCATTACCCAGCGATGAGGTCATGAGTGATGATGTACTAATTTTTTGACCAGAGAGGAAAATGTCAGATTTTATTGATTAAGAAATCATATTTAATATACATATTTCATATAATCAGGGCCGGATTTCCCACAAGGCCAACCAAGGCCCGGCCTTGGGGCAGCAGGGAGTAGAGGGGCAGCAGGGGTGTGGAATTCCTATCTCCCGACGCCTGGGACATGCAGTTCCGGGCACTGGGCGGGTAGTTGTTTTCTACATTTAGCCCAGCTTTGGGCAAGCAGGGCTAAATGTACAGCAGGGAAGCTGTCACTTGTTTTGTACCAGTGATCTTAGCGATGTCGCCAAGATCACTTGTATGTAGCCTGCATACAGGGGAGTGCATTGAGGAACCTGGCATTGGGGCAGCAGAAAGAGTAAATCCGTCCTGAATGCATAGCACTTTGGCATCTTGCATCGATACAGGTTATCCTAAATAACACCCTCGAAGGCTATGACCTCCAATTATTACCAACTTGCGATACTGTATATAGAGAAAATGTCAAATATATTTTTATTTAATCACAGATATATAGATTACGTAATAAACATTACAAGACATTTAGGCCCTATTCACACTTGCCACTTGTTTGGTAATGGCACCCCAAATGCGACAAGCAAGACTTGACATAGGTATTAACGCATAACAAATGGAAACTTCTGCATGAGCGTATTTGCCTCATTCGTCGCATGATATAAATGGGATGTCCTATGCTGACTCCTGACAAATGCGGCAAAATGTACCAAAATGCCTTGCACATTCATGTGCGTAACAATTGCATTGTGGAAAATGTACGGACAGTTCTTTCTACAAAAAAGCATGCCACATGATGACCTTGCCCTTGCATTGGTCTTAATTCACTAGGCTGTAAACCATGGGGCGTTTGTCATAACCGTCATTATCTTGAGCCATGTGGTTTTTGTTTTCAACTCTCATTCACTGTCTTTTCTAAAATAAAAACACAAAAAATGGCAACAAGCACTATATGGCCAAACCTTTGTAGACATCTGACCAATATACAAACAACCATATGGCCAAAAGTATGTGCTACACCAGGGGTAGGCAAACTCCAGCCCTCTAGGTGTGGTGCAACTACAAATCCCATTAGGCATTGCAAGACCCTGACAACCCCAGGCATGACTGCCAGAGGCAGATGCATGATGGAATTTGTAGTTTCACCACATCTGGAGTCTGCCTACCCCTGTGCTACAGCATACAAACATGTTAGACAACCGTGTGGCAACAGTTTGGAGAAGACCCTTTTCTGTTCCAGCAGTCTTCAAAAGGAATGGTCAGCAAAGGAAGCATCCATATTACCATCATTGCAGGTCTCCTTTAAGTATACCCAGTGGAGGTTTATTCAAGAAAGCAAAAAGAGATGTGCAAAGGGTAGAGAGTTCAAGTAGCCCCTAGCAACCAATGATATTACCTGATGATGAGTTTCACAGTCATCCCCATTCATGTAGCTGTCTCTGAGGACCGAGCACTACATCCTCCACTCCCCCCCATCCTGGCTGGTTTGCTGGTTACACTGAAAACACGTTTTTTTGCATTTTAAATGATGCTCTTCAATAAATCTTACCTTAAAAGCCCAGGAGAACACGATTTTATGAAAAGAATTGATTCTTGCTTGCAGAAGAGATGGGATTTCTGTGCAATGGTCTTACATAAAAAGAACAGTCATACAGTACTTACCCTTGATACACAAACAAGCACACAACTACGCACATAAAATAATGAAACACACAGATTTATAATAATGAAATACACGTGCATTGTCGCAAAGATAGTGAAACACAAAAACCACGAGGCTCAAGGCCAAGTCTAGCCAAAACAATGTTTTGAAAATGTTGGTAAGAAACAGAACCTCGGCCAAGTTTCTAATGCCGTTACAAACAGAACAATACTTAATCTCAAGCGACTGTCCATCAGGCGTCAAAGAACATCAGCGCGGATTTAGGAAGGGCCGTTCTTGTCAGACCAACCTACTAACATTCTACAAAGAGGTGAGTAGGGATCTGGAGAGAGGAAAACCAGTGGATGTGGTATACTTGGATTTTGCCAAAGCTTTTGACACGGCACCACATAAATGCTTAACACACAAGCTGAAATCTATGGGCATAGATGAAATGGTGTGTACATGGATAGAGAACTGGCTACAGGAACGTTTCCAGAGAGTATTGATAAATGACTCTTTTTCACATTGGACTAAGTTTGAGAGCGGTGTGCCCCAGGGTTCTGTGCTAGGCCCAATACTATTTAACCTGTTTATTAACGATATCGGGGAGGGCGTCAATAGCCATGTTTCTGTGTTTGCCGATTATACCAAAATAGGGAGGGTAATAGACACGGGATTATACATTATAACATTACAGGAGGACCTGGATAAAATAGGGGAGAGGGCAACTATATTGCAGATGAGGTTTAATGTCGAAAAATTTTAAGTAATGCACTTTTGGGTTAAAAACAGGCAAGCGGATTACACATTAATGGGTACTGCACTAGGGAACTCAGAAATGGAAAAATATTTGGGGGTCATAATTGACCGCAGATTGAATAACAGCATGCAATGCCAGGCTGCGGCAAACAAAGCGAGCAGAATACTGTCTTGTATGAAAAAAGGAATGTACTCCAGAGACACAGCAATAATTTTGCCACTTTATAGATTGCTGGTTCGGCCTCATCTTGAGGGATG